GGTCACAGATAAATTAGTCTGAGCTTCTATTCTTTCTATAATATTTTAAAAGTAGACTTGTACTTTATGTAAAATTTTAATTAAATATTCAATAAAGATAGAGGCATAGTCTTACCATTAATATTTAAAAAAAAAAAGTAATCATGATCTACCAATTTACCTTTACCAAATACTAAAAATAAAGCATATACATGGTAAACACTTCTCTTTCTCTTAGAAACTAGCTTTTGTAAAGAAATTCGAACTCTGAATGCCCATTGCTGTAGAGTTTCATTAGGCTGAATAACTGATAAAATATCATATTGTCTTTCAGTCTCAAAGAGTTTTTCAAAGAATTGTTGATAATCATTAATATCATAATAATTTAGAATATATGAGTTGACATATTTTATGTCATATTCTGGTCTATTATTATTAAGTTTTTGTGATTTAGCTTTTTTATCAAGGATGACTGAAATACTGATGTTTGCCATATTTAATAAGATATAGTGATTTAAGGACCTATAACAATTATGAGACTTATAATATATTACATGATTTTATTAACTTTATACATAGTATAATTTTGATTTAAATTTTGTATATTTAAAGTTAATATAAAATAGCAAAATTATATAAAAAATATCCCAATACATGAGCTTTGAGCCAGAGGCAAAAAGTTAGTTGGAATATTATACAATTACATTATATTTGATTATATTACAATCTAATGCTAATTATTTTTATATTTCACTGATAAACCTTTTTTTGTGGGCTCAAAATCTTAAATAAATAGAAGCAAACATAAATATTAAGTTTGAAGAATAACCATATAGAATTTTTAACATAGCAATTATACTTACTAAAATAGCTTCATCTTGAATTTTTAATTTTTGGTAATTGAGAACCTGACTTTAAAGATTTAAAACACTTCCTATTCTGTATTACAAGCTTTTTTGATGCCTTTGCTTTTTTATTATTATTATCAATACCTACTTCCATATTATCATTCGAATCTGAATTGCTAAATAAGGAGCCAAATTTTTTATTTTGCTTAATCATTGTTGAGTGAACAAAAAAGATGACACTATATTGTATATCAGAAAGAACTGATAGATTTTCATAAACCAGGATATTGGATTGAAAGGCAACTATTTGATTCTGTTTAATATGAAAAGTTAATTTAAGCTCAGAAAATACCAATTGCCTACCTTCAAATACTCCAAGTAGGCACACTATACAAAGTGAATTGTGATAGTCTTTTAGATCTCAATGAAACTGGCAAATAGCATTAAAGTTAATTGTTATAGTAGAAAAGATCCCAAATAATTTAGGAACATTTGGACCAAAATCTAGTTTTTTTATTTTCATATATAGGATTGGATATGCTTCCTGAAAATAATTATCAATAGCATTGGATAATGATTGGAGGCCTTGAACTAGGTCATTAACATATTTTTGATGACTTTGGTAGTATGAAGATGCCATATTTGTTGTAGTATATAGTTCATTATTGCTATCTGTGAAAGCACTAAAAATCTCTGTCATTTGTTTTACAAATTTCTTAAATTGATATAGTAGGTTATGGAGAATGTATTAATAATAATAGTTTACTACTGTTTTGGCATCATTTGTTACTATAAGGTTTGAAAGAAAATAAAAATCTATAATTGTTTTATCCAATATATTTTTAAAGCATTGGGGCTTGAGAATATGTCTGTATCTGCTAAGGTTAATGCTACTCATAACCTTTTTTGTTATTTTGTCTATGATATTAAGCTTATTTTTTGAGTTTTATTAAAATACTTTCGGAATATTATAATGCTTTAAAGGCTTTTTTTGAGCCTTTGTTTGCTAATTATGTGCATGCAATATCTTTGATTAGAGATAATGACAGTACTCTCAAAACTGTTTGTAATAAGTTTTAGAAGTCTTAAAGTGTGCCTATCTTGCAAATTCCATCTATAGCTTACAGATTGAATATGTTTTAAGACTACTATCAGAATATGATATATTAAAAATTTTTGATTCTAATAAGTTTAGAAATTCAGTAAGTACTTTAGAAGAGGATGAGATCGATTGGATACTTTGAAATGATAAAATCTTATTTATACCCAATTTTATATTTATATTATGTTTATACATTTGATCTTCTCTTTATTGTTTCTTTTCAAAAGCTTTTCAAAAAAGATAAATGTTAGATTCAAAAATATAGAAGATTATGAGTGATTAGTTGACTTAAGATCACTTACTGAGGGTGTGGCAACCTAGTGAAGTAGTTAGGTTGTCAACCTTCCAAGTGGTAGGTTGGGTGTTCAAATCCCATCGATGGTGAAAATTTGGATAATCACCTATATAATATTTGTATTACAGCAACTGTTACTAATGATTGGGTTAGAATACCTGTAATAGTGATCACACCAGCATGACTGATAGGTTATGAGGCATTTATGTAACAGGTCATATGACATTGCCTTTGGGACAAGGTTGTGGTTACACAAAGGAATGCAAACTGGCAATAGGCAGTGCAAACACTAGATAAGTCCTTGT